GAAAAAAAAAAAAAGAAAATAAAAATCCGCAGACAGCTGGTAGGGAGACCTAAGGACAGTGAAGTTGACCGTTATCACTCATTATTTTCTATCGGCGGGTTCGGCCCAGATCGCCACAGGCGCCACACTGCTATTCTCCGCAAATCACTCGAATGTACAGCACAATATAACCCAGGATTGCCAACAAAAACGGCTTGCTTTACTAGCATAGCAGCCCATCTAACTGGTTTGAAGGAGGCTACCTAGGTTCTTTTTCGCATTTTTAAATAATTTTGCTACAGGGACGCTACCTCGTTCCGGTAGCATTCGGGGTGCAATATGTACATAAGTAACCACCACACCAAACCCATTGAAAGCCTATAATAATAGTAAACTTTTTCTTTTTCTTGATCCTGTTTTCCTCCATGTTGTAGGGCTGCTAGTAGCTTCGGGTCTAGCTGCAATGGATTCATTCCGACTTGTCAGCTGCAATAATAAGGGGGTCTAAAATAAGGATGTATAATAACTAATCAACATTGCATGTTTTCAAGGTGTATAAATTATCTATGAACTTGTACTTTGCCTGGTTACCTATAACTACATAACAGTTTACAGAAACATGTCCAATCTTGTTAATACCAGGGAGCGATGTTTTCTTTAAGAGCTATTGTCAATTCATTCCTTCATCCACGAGGTATAAGGGAAGAAGGATAGATTGTGGAAAATATCATGGGCATATTATGTGAAGAGAGTTGATTTAATGTATTTAACATTAACCAGCACATTAGACATTATTATGGTTAGGAGGAAGGAAAAAGATACGAGAATAACAGCAATGAGTTTGAAAAATAACTTCAGAATACCTCCCATCTTCCAATCTAAAGGAAAAAGAGAAAAGGAAAATGTTAATAATAGTGGGAAATATAGAAACCAAGCGACGAGAGGACCCGCCCACGCTTTTGTAATTTACAAGAAACCCCCTTAAAGCCTCGAGATCTGTTGTCTTTTGATGTCAATCAAGTGCAAATGGAGGATATCATCATCCTGGTATCCCGGTTCCGTTGACCCCGATCACCAGAGATGTATGGAGAAAAATAGCAGGGTAAAAATAGGAAATCAAAAAATAATACGGAGAAATAAAACAGAGCAGTGGGAGAAAATTAGCACACTGCTACTGAAGCGGTATCTTGCATAAAACCATTGCCGAATCCGATGCTGGCAAAAAGAGAAACGGAAAAAAAGAACAATAAAAATAGGCAAAAATAAAAATAATAGAAAAAGAAATAAAGAAAAAAAAATTTGTCTTGTGTACTGCGCAACTGGTTTTCAAGCGCTGAAGACGTCTAGAATCGCTTTCGAGGATTCATGTTGCTCGTGTGTTTTTTTTTTTTTTTTTTTCTTTCAGGAAATGGCGTCGTCAAGGCGTTTCGTCGTAAGCATAAATTAAGATCATCGGCCAGCGGTCTCGATCTGTTGAGATGACTACCCCAATCCTTTCTCAGATGTCACTCGACTCATCGATCCAATCGTTATGGGTGTGTGCGGTTTGGTCGTTCGACCAGGAGGCAAAGCGCATAGCAGCTAGCAGTTTCATCGGATTGGACGATGCAAGTCGAGAAGTGCATCAAATTTAAAACGAAATTCCCAGTCAAGTATTCGTCGACCACGGGGAAGCAAATTATTGCATTATAAAGTTGGGGTAGTAAGGTCGCTTCATCCGGTCGATGTCTGTTCGTTTCTTCATGCGCTCCGCGTCATAATCATCGGCACCATCTCGGCTACCCCATGTAGTCTGTCGACGTAAAAACTCAATGTTAGTGGCGTCTTCATTGGACAGATGTGTGGGTGGGATGGTGGGTAGGAATGTAAACTTCGAACAGAGCACGACATGATGCTAAAAAATACACCACTGCACCTCGATTGGCCATCAAGCAAAATATGACCAGGGGGGTAAAAAAAAATAAACAAACAAATAAAAAGAAAAGGAAAAGGGGAAAAAACAGAAATGACAGAAACGACAAAGATGACAGTTATGGACAGAAAAACATTTCGAACACAATAAAAAGGAAATGGGGATGATAAAAACAAAAAAGTCGTGTATATCTCCACCACGGCCTCAACCCGGATTACCAGGTGTGGGAAGACCGAGTAATAACAACAAATTACACAAATGCGAGACGAGAGGGGAAGAGACCCATGATCAATGCGTTTTTGGTTTTTGGCGGGCTCTCATAGGAGGGGATGGGGTCGAGGGATGCTTAGGCAGCCCGAAGAAGGCTAGAACCGACTTCCACCCAAAGCCTAGTAGCTCCAGAGGGAGGCTTGGAGTGCTGCAGTGGGCACACCCTGTATCGAATCCACATGCAAAAAAAAAAGAAAAAAAATCCAGGATTTGCAACTTACCACATTGAGAGTCAGCACTGCGTACATCTTGATTCCTCCGTGGAAATAACCAAAGAGAATGGACACGGGCAACAGCAAGACATCCACCGGGTAGCGGATGTAGTGGCCCAGAAGTTTGATGAACTTGCTAATAAACATCCACACCCCAAGAGCTTGCATCGCCAAAGCATGTGAATCATCGCTCCAAGACACAGTGGCTTTGTGACATAATAAAAGGAGCAACACATCGCCCAAGAGAGCCGGGGGCGATAGCGTTGTCATATGGACGGCATACGCGCTCCAAGGCTGGCGGCTGGAAACACAGACCCCAAATGTTAGCGTGCGGCTTAAACGAGGCGCTTGTTTTTAGTAGGTTATGTGCCTTGCTCAAATTGGATATCCTCCACACCCGTTTCGATGAATCACAACTCGCGCGCTGACCTGCTAACGATGATCCGGCCACTTTTGTAATTCCAGGCCAGTGCAGGCAGGTCTGTTCCCCGAATCGCTGCAACATTTCAGGTCAAGGAGACGCGTAGCCACATCTTGGGTTGTGGAGGATCAATCCAACAAGAGCAAAAGACAAATTGTAAAATAATGAAAATAAATAATGAAAATAAATGAAAACACATTTTTTAAAAAGAAAAGCAAGAAAAGAGCAAGGGAACAGGAGAACTTACTGCCAAATGGTTTTTTCGTGAAACATACTGGTAAGGTTGCTCCTCCAGTTGCTTCGAGACCATCGCGCACATTGCTTCAGGAATTTGTTGTTGTCTTCCAGAGTGGTCTGAACTTCGGCTTCAGGGTGGTACTGCATGAAGGTCTCCCAACCGTGGTTCACCATCCAGCGGGTAATGAAGTTGTCGTCATCTGCATTAAGCTGGTATTTACCAAACCACCATTCTTCGTTTGTGAACGCATAGGTGAAGCCTTCATCTTGAAGAATCCCGGTCCTGTATGCCACAGTTCGTCCTGACATGCAAGGGAGCCCACCATCCAAATGGGTCGTAGCTGCACAGTCGAAGTTTCTTCTCTCCAAGTACAAAGCTCCCAGAAAGCCCCAGACACGCTGTGGCAATGTCGGGTTAACTGCACGACGCAGTCGTTGGCAGGTGACCACACCTCCATATCTCTCATCTTTCTCAAAGGGTGCCAAGATCCAAGGGAGCAGGGTGTGTGGCCAGCTCACATCATCATCGGCAAAGATTGTGATCGCAGTTTGAACTTCTGGAATGGCCCGAGTCATTTGACGTCGCTTATTGGGGTGCGTGACTGTAAAGAGACGGATCCTCGATTTTGACGCTGGCATCGCATCCAGCATGTTTTGGGCCTTCTTTCGATTTGCCTCAATGGTCACCAGTAGAAGCTCACGAGGTCGGTTTTCGAGAATGGTTCTGATTGTCTCAACTAATTCATCACCACAACCCTCTAAGGTTGGGAGAATCACTGTGACATCCTGCGCCGTCAATTTCGGGTTATCCGGTGGAGGAATGGGCTTGAAAGTCCAGAAAGAGAAGAGGTTCACAACCAGGCGGAAATAACGATAGACGCTGCAAGTACAAAGAAGTCAGTCATTGGTATATTTCTCATCAAGCTGCCAATGAATATAGAGGGTATGAGGGGTGAAGAGAGTAAAAAAATTAGCTACTAACAAAAGAGCGAGAAATGCTCTCATAAATGGGAAAGCCATATTCAAAAGAAACACGTTCACAAAGAGCGTTTCGCTTCTTGGACTAATTGAACTGGATTCTTCTTTCTGTAGTGGGAGAAACAGAACAGTGTAAAATGCCCACGGTAAGGTAGTGTAGGGAAAGGAAGGCGACGATGCCTTTTGGACACTGCCTCTAGGAGATCAATTGTCCACAGAAGAGGGAAGAGGGAAGAGGAAAGAGGAAGAGGAAAGAGTGGAGGGTCCCTCGAGAGAATTTGAGGAAGAGATGAGGAAGAGATGAAGAGATGAGGAAGAGAGAGAAAGAGAAAGAAAAGAAAAAGGTTGAGGGAGGGAGAAGAGAGAAAGGTAAACGAATGTTTCTGGGCGACAGAGCTTCCTCAAGTCAGAGGAGAATTCTTCCGGGTTAATTATTATTAGGCTTGAAAAAGCAGGCGAATATCAACAGATATGCACCATTGGGGATTTTTATTTGTCGGCGATGGAGTCTACGGCAGGAGAAGGCACATGTTTAGAAGGTCCGGTATCCAGATAACAATTGAACCATGGCAAAAAAAAAATTAAAAAAAGAATAATAATAAATAAATAAAAAATAATAATAATAATAATAATAATAATAATAAATTTATTAAAAAAAAAAAAAAAAAAAAAAAAAGTCACTTGTGGGCTCCAGTTCTTTTGTCATTTTGAGTGTCATGCAGGAGTATTTTTGCCCTCGTGCGTCAGAGACCCTGGATCTAGATGGACTGATGGGGGCAAGCATGGATGCAATGGAGGATATTGAAAGTGGAGAAGGGATTGGCGGCGGCCCATGCAGCTACTGGAGAGTGACATGGACCAGGGGGTGGGTTGGGGCTAGGGTGGTGGGTGGGTTGGGGCTAAGTTAGATGACGATACTAAAGCAAGTACATGCGCTAGACTAGGACTAGTAAGTAGCTGGGGTGGGTGTCTCCGAAAGGCTCGGTGCGTGCTGGGCCTACTGGGGGAGGGGCCTTAAGTTTACTGAAAACTGAACACTTGAACATAATAGTGTGCTGGTGTGTATTTGAACCCTGTAAATATAAAGAGCTACCCTGTTCTACCATGGCCTCTAGAATAATCTATTCTTTTATAATGTCCAGGATTTTTATTGCACTTTTCAATTCAGATGCATTGGTGGCTCGTTCATCTATCAAGGCCGATGAGCAAGCGATGCCGATGGACCGACGGACTAACTAAAAAAGAATAAGTGGAGATGGTCGGTTGGATGATCAGGAATCTCGGAGGGGACAGAAACTCTCTCTCTCTCTTTTTGCGTATGATTTTGATAAATATTATTCTTACTATTTTATTGGTAATTTTGTATTATTCTTATTATTATTACACCAGTGGAGAAAGCTTTCTCAGCACTTGCCGACTGACCTCCCAAGTTGCCTCAACGAGTAAGGATCCATATTGTGTACTTATGATCTTACCTGCTTGTAGTAGATTCATGGCAGGCTATGTGAATGTCGATTTAGATTTATAATAATACGATAAGAAATTAAATCTGTTGGGCAGGGCAGAGTATGTACGAAGTAAATGTACCTTCTCCATGGTGGCGCAACATGGCTGCATACAGATGTACTATATCAGCCTGTCTACGGTAGTCAGCTCCGATCGAAATCAATAAAAAGAAAACATTAAAATAATAATAAATAGAAAGCAAGTGAAATAAAATCTCCGGCATGATTCACGTGAGATCTTCGCCCCCTTGTCAATATCATATGTCTAGACCTCATGGTTTGCATCTTCCCTCCTTTATGCGATACAGTATAAGGGCAAGGATTGGTTATACGTGATGATATACATGATCGGTATCCAGCCGAATCATAAACAGGATGTCAAATGAGCTTGACTGACGTCGTGAGATTTTTGCATTTCTATTTTTTGTTTCCCTCGTGCATTGTTGTTGACTTGTACATGCCCTGCAACTGGCACATGGACTCTTCCTGTTAGCTGTCTGATCGAGGAACCACGGCTCCTGTTCCTTACAGACACTCATCCTGAATGTGCCTAAATCTACCATAAAGAAGCGATAAATAAATAACAATGTACTTTGTGCTTGTCATGATGATTTATCGAGGCAAACCATGGAATGTATGCGATTCGTAAACCTTAACAATCTAGTTCAAGAAACACCTGTACTGATTAGAGTGCCTACACCACACTAGTATTTGATCCGGAAATAGCACGCTGTAGACTTAGACTGTACGGGGGGAGGGGAAGGGGGGAAGGGAGGAAGGGAAATCCAGCCAAGGATTGAAGTATGCAATCCTCCGCTCGGAGGCATCAGGCAGAAGTACGAAAAAACGGAGTAGTATCGGGGAAAATGATAGCTTCGTAATGGTTAGCATTTGGTTGCCTTTCTGAAAAGGCACGCAATTCGAGCTACCAACTAGGCTGGTCCCGATCAGGCTCTCAAGGCGCTGTGGAGGAAGAGATACGTCAAGGTCCTGCGGCTTTGCAGGATATGATGATATCAAGCAGCCGAACCTGTCACACTGCTCACTCACACACCCACACAGAGAGAGAGAGAGAGTTCAACATCAGATCGTACATGGTGGATAAGTTTTTTGGTGCTCTGTGCAAAAATGCTTTTGTATCTACCGGCATTAGGTAACTAAGGCCTCCAGCCGAAAAAGTTCAAGACAACGGTGATCCTAGCGGCGATCGTCCAACCCCGTGTAAGCAAGCCGCTTTGTCGCTCGTGCAGCCCACGGCCGCTAAACGATTATTATGGATCATTTGAAGCTTGGGTGGGGAGAAGAAGCGTTGTGCGATAGGCTGGGCGTAATACGAAGTCGAGACCATTCCCCAGATGCAATGTCCAGTCAGGGAAAGGAAGAGAGACAATGCCATTTTATTATCTGCTGAAAATTGCCTAGTCGTGTACGGAATTAAGATAGTGTGAAAGAGTAATCAGAGAGGCGAGTCCATGATGACTGGAAGGCAAATGATTCCATGGTACGTGTAGTATGCAAGACTTGAAGAAGGCGATTTTGATATACATAGTAATCGCCCGGCTGAGACACTATATCCTGTTTACTCGCAGCCACAGTGGCGGGGGGCAACCCGGTCTTCAATTCGTGTACTGTTATCGTGCCTTGAATAATAATGGTATCCTCCATGAAACATTTAGCATGGATGATCGGGAATTTCCATATTTCCCATCTCAGTTCCAGAGAGAACAAAAAGGGGTTGCGAAGAAAAGGGCACTGACCAACTTCCGAGTCTCCATCAAATCCTCACCAAGAACCGCTGACGGTTCGCCCACTGATTAGTGGGAATTTGCTGCAAATACTCTTGATTGGTTGGATCATAATAAATGGATTCAAAGAACCTAAGGTAAAAGTACTCTGTAACGGCTAAATGACCCTTGTATGCATACAAATGGGTAAAACGAAAACGCGGCAAAAAAAAAAATCTAATGAATGAACTAAATCGGAGGGGAAAGGGAATAGACATTCTTTTTTTAAAAAAAAAAAAAAAAAAGAGAAGAAAAAGAAGAATATATTAAAACTAAGCCAGGAACTTGCCTAGTTAGTGTCCCTCAGCTGTCAGCCATCAAGCAAGAGAGTAATAAAGGAAACGAACTCGAGCGGGATAAATCTCGGGCCAATCACTCCAGAACTGGCGTAATCTCTCTCACCCGCTCGATGGACATGGATGATACTGTATACATTAATTCCTCCGTACATGATTAGCCCATGCAATCTTTTTAAGGGAAAAAAAGAAGAAAAAAAAAGCACCAAAGTACCTACCCACCTGCGGCCCAAGCTCTTTTTTCCGTCGTGAAAAAAAAAAGAGAAAGAAAGAAAAGAAAGAAAAGAAATCAGAATACTACTAGTAATAATAATATTATTATTACCTATTATTATTATTGTTATTATTGTTATTAAAAAATAGCCAACAGTTGACCCGCATGAGGTCGCCTTGGCATCTGGGACAGCTCGTGCTCATCAATGTTAAAAGGAACTGATCCGGGGCTCTTTTATGCCGTCCCCAGCTTTAGTGGCTACAAGTGATGAGGATGCTCCTGCAAGTTGCCCTAAATGGTTATATCATCGTGCTTATGGATGGAGCCATGGACTTTTGGACTCTGGTCTTTGAGTCTGGAGTCTCGACCTGAGTCTTATCATTTCATTACTATATGCGATAGGAAATAATATGGTGCATGGTGCAAATATGATTCCTAATTTATTATGGTATTTTTTGTATTATTGTATGGAAGAATAGACTACGTATCTAAGTATACATATATTGTTTAGAGGCATTGTATTACATAGCATGCCTTGCTGTGCGATCGATAGTATGTAGGATGCACAGCAAATATCAGATATCGTACTTTGGGCACGGGTGTGATATTCAAATGTTGACAGGTACAGCAAATAGCTCTAAAAGGCCGTCCACGAACAGAAAATAGGATATGGACCCTCTTCTGATTACCATTTTTGTCCTCGAGCATTAACTAACATTACGATTTCCTTCTGTCGCAGTCGGAACCGAAGCCGAAATGCAGCCATCAGTCGGTTCAGAACTTCAGGGATGTCAATGCTAACTTACATAGCACTCAACTCGAGCCCAGTAAATCTGACCAGAAAATGGTCGACGTTGCATGTAGCAAGACATTATTTGCCAGCGACCATCTCATATCTGGAGTGAAACAGACGCGTATCTCGGCTGCACGGACTTTGACCAGGACTCCGCCGAACTCTCCACCCACACCCGGGAATGGCCGAGCCTTCCTCTCCATCCATGGATCGATCCTGTTGATTGTGACTATGTACGGACCTAATGGTGACAATGAATCATGGACGAGCATTTCGGGGCTAGTTTGTCCAAACAACAAGCCTCTTGCTCGACTCGAGAGAGTGGTCCCGTCCTAACTATCCAACTGTCAACTCCGGGCTCCGGAAATCATCACCAATTTCTCACCGGACTGCCGCGGGTTTACCCACCGTTTCAGTGCACTGTCCACCAAAACCGTCTAGAATGGATCCCCTCGGGTGGCAAATGTCAACCTTAGAATTTAGAATTTCAGATAGAACGGAGACTCTCCAGTACTCTGTTCATCTGTTGTGAGACTGAGTACTCCGTACGGAGTACAGACTCCGAGGGGAGATGAGTATGACATGCAGCTTTATGCCGTTAACGCCTCGACGGCCGATCGGGGAGTGCGCCAGCCGCATGCCCTTTTATTTCTCACTTTTGACTCTCTCTAGCCTTCTCATTTCTCTGTATCATGAATGGTAATTCTCTCTATGCAGTATGATCTTACCAATTCATCATCGTTGGCTCAGATGAGCAAGGGGAGGGTCCCAGAAGAAAAAAAGAAAAAAAGAAAAAAAGAAAGAAAGAAAGACAAAAAGACACTATCTCAGGTACAGGGAAATGCAAATCCTGCTTCCTTTTCGGGATAAACTTGCACTCGAGACGGCTCGTTGACACAGATTCATACAGGAACTGAACTCAGATCGTCTCTTACTACATATGCCTGGGTGGGGGTGGAGCCTTGAACAACTAACCAAGCGCTGGTTACAGGTGGAACTTTTTAGGGGGATGCGTTTGGCTTGTGGTCTGTGGGAATCACTACATAAAAAAGTTCACAAAAAAAAAATGAAAAAGCGAAATGAAAAAGGCCGTTTACTTTTTGGTTTTGAGATGGGGACAGAATTCTCCGCCGCGAGCCTTCTGGTTCGCTTAAAGAAATGGTGCTTTTGTCATCTGCGGTTGGCATCTGCCGCGCCCGCTACGTGTTAAACAACGATGGGGCAGGAGGATAATCAAAACCAACTCAATAGGGACCAGGGAAGGGATTCATCAAAGGAAATATCCCAAGGTGAATGTATCATCATATTGTTCTCCAAGGACCCATAAAATCGAGTCGTGGACTTGTCAAAAGGGGATTTGCAAAGAGAATTTGAGATCTAACAAGAATATCTAGGTACACATAGTATGTATGGGCTTTAATTTGACTTTGAGGAGCTCAATAGAGATACTAGTAGGCAGAAAGACCCGAACGAGCATGATCGAAACTAGTAGCGGCGATAGCGAGTAATGTTCAATATTTCAAATATTGTCGAGTCACCTGGACAATAAAGAATCATACTACTAAAGGTAGTTGTTACTGCTAAGGCAGTACCTAGTAGTCTAGCAGTACTCTGTACGAATATGTTGTCTTCTTCGCCACCTAATAATAGTGGCAACGGTGTCAATGTACTTCTTCAGGTAAGGTGGCATTGGAACCTAACCAGTTTGGGGCCGCCCATGCTGATTGGCCCATGCAAGATTGCTGTCCGCGCCAACAAAGTCTGGCCGCCTGATTTTCGCACGACGAGGCTTGCTTTAGTCACCGATCTACTGCAGCTCCCATGCGGCTAGTCTCAAGCACTCCGTTTCATCAACCTCACATACTAGACATACCAGGCAGGTAATCATCCTCCTCCGGGGCCTCCGTAGTCCGCCCCCGTCCCACTCTATCTCCTTCATTTACTCGATATACCAACTTGTCGGTTTCTTTTCTTTTCTTTCTTTCTTGTTTTTCCTTGCCCTTATTTTATTATAATTGACACCAGAATAATAATTACTATTTTTTGGGCGGTCATTATTTTGCCAGTCATTAAAGAGACGGGATGGCTCTCGGGAGCTGTCCGAAGTTCGAACTCATGACTACAAATAGATGGTGATTGTGATTCTTGGTGGCTGTCAAACACGGCATGACCATCTGGTCGAATATTGGGTTCTTGTCGAGAAATAGACAGCCTCGTCGATCCGGTCTCGACTCCCAGCGACCTGTAGTGGAGAAAAGAAAGTGAGGGAGGGAGAGGGGAAAAAAAAGAGCTGGCATAACTGTCTTCTTCTTCAGCACATTGCTGCAATCAATGCATCCCAGTCGAACTGCATTTGATTCTTGGCAGGACGGGCCATGGTGACGTTTGATTTCCTGAAGAGGGTGTGGATCATTCTAAAGGCACTGTGTTCCTATTTAGGAAAAAAGCATGTGCTTCTCCGCACTTCCGCCTGCGTGCTGTGTCATCTACTGGAGAATCATGTAGGTACTAGTACTCCATATTCAAGCCGTATGGAGTAGTCTCGTCCAGGTCAGAAAGTGGAATTTACTTATTAAGAAATAGCCATGATCCGCCAGGTTAGAGTATACCTTATATGTTGTACGGAGTCTAAAAGTGAAACAAACGAGGCCAATAAACATCGAAGAAAAGGTAAGCATCACTTTGGCGGATAACAGTAATCATGTTATATAGAATTTATATAAAACTCCCCCAGTCGTACTTTGGACGAACACACCCACGTCATTTCTGTCCTACTCCATGGATTTGACTTTTTGTTCCTAAATCCGGATGTGCATGCCTTAGCATATATGTATGTGCCTGCCAGGATCAAGGATTACTGAGACTAGTGGCCAGTGATCTTACTATAGTGACAGCATTGAATTAATAATCAGCCCTCTTTGGAATATCTTTACGAAGTGACATGATATTGCTGTCAAGGTAGAGTTGAATGAAATCTGTCATTGGCTCATTCTCAATCCAGATTTTCAATCATCTGTACAAAGTGGGATGGACGTAACCCAGTCAATTGGGTAACGTCATTGTCATTGCATGTCTTCTTTCAGGAATCTTCGAGAAGCTCGATCGGTTGAGGGGAAGAAAGTGTATTTTAAAAAAAAAAATAAAAAAATGACCAAACTGGACCCTTGTTCCATATGGCCGAGCTGGGTACAGTTGATCTCAATTGTACTTCCTTAAACAACATGGGTTGGAGCCTGGAAAAATAGCTTGGCTCCAGGTTTACATATGGATTACATACTATGTCTAGGTGATATCGGAAAAGACCCTAACCACTAAAATCCCATGTGGACCTGAGTTGTTGCTTCTCGAATCGTTTTGTGAACATGGATCTATCAAAGACGTTGGGCCGAGCCCATGCCCTAATATTCCTTACTCCTATGACATGACCTTGCATACAACTCGGCTGATCGAAGATGAGACTACTCCATGCAGTTGACTTAGTATGGAACCTAATTTATGCCTGCATGGTTCTTTGGACAACCCCCCCACTTCACAAGGTCAACGTCGTATGCCATTCACCAGGAACCTGCACATTGATCAACATGGAGATTGTCATTGACAAGCTTGACTTTATTATACCCCGATGAAGCTACAAATATAAGGAGTTCTTCCTTGGATGGCTCCTTGTATCTAGTTATGGATAGCTACATTAGACCCTCCACGATTGTCACTGCTTACCTATTCACAGCCCTGCTGTCAGTTGATATGCATGTATCAACTGATTGTCTAGGCTTATGATACTCCATGTAGATAGTACGATTCCAGTGTCTCTTCAATATACATATGGGCTGCTTTTACTATGTTATCTAGTTTGATGATGGCATAAATGTTTATCATTTTCACCCATCTTTATAAACACTACCGTGCGACAATATGAAGCTACTGATATGGTAAGACATGATAGTGAAAAAAAATAAAATAAAATAAAATAAAAAGAAGGGAAGAAGAAGAAGAAGAAGAAGAAGAAGAAGAAGAAGAAGAAGGGAAGGGGGTTCCATTGTATGGTGTATGGTAAAGTTAAACGTATTTGACAAGAAGAATCACTTGAGTTGTATAGCTATCAACCTAAAGAACAACACACTCGTACCGTAGTCGAGAGAGATTGAGCTATATTTTAAACTCCACAAGCTTCATCATACCAAAATCCACAGCCATACCGAACCCTGTCGGCATATCATTCACGTTTCCATAGCCAATTTTTAGGATCAAAGCAGACCTCAAACTCAACCCCACCAAATAGCCCAACAGCTCCGTACAGGTCAAAATCGCCTTCCAGACCCTCGACACCCCCAGATTCCCCATCAGTTTCCTCATTAAGATCCCACCCGCCCGCTTTCTGTCCATTTCGGGTACAGAAAACATCGACTTTAGGCTTTTTTGGCTCATTACCAGAGACCGTGCTGACGTTGTCCGGAAGGGAGAATGTCATTCCCAATCCAATAGTCTCGCCCACCTTGAACTCGGTTGTGAAATCCTTTCCACCCCACGAGTCATTCACAAACCGACATCCATCATCAGAAAAAACACCAAGGCTTCCTCTCTCCCACCCGGGTGATCGCCAGCTTGGGTATGGTTGTGCCACGAATCCAATGGAAACCCCACTGGAATCGCCTGTCCCAGCTGGGCCTATACCAATGCTGAGCAGTTTGATTTCAAAGTAGATTGTCTTGCTTCGTTCTGTCGTGAAAGGAGAATCTTCAACGGGGAAATAAAGTGGCAAGCTTGTCAATATGAGGCAGTCACCGTTTGTGTCTTGAGAAAAGCCCCTCCATATACCCTGGGATATTGAGGAAATGCCACCGTGCAACTCTCGGGGTTGTACAGGGCGAAAATCATGCATATTCACTTGGCTGTATACGGCGGCGGAAGGCTTCACGGGGGTCCATAAAGGTGTACGATCACAAAAGTCATGAGCACGCTCAGCATCATAGCTGGAGGCATTTCCAGCATTCGACGAGTAGAACCCTGTTACCGGTGGCGGTGGGAAGGTTGCTGTGTCAGGGACAGCCTCCTGCCAATTGTGGTATGGCGGCGGGTTCATTTCAGTATGTTTGACCGAAGCACAATAACTGGGCGGTGGATCTCGAGGCGGCTGAGGTGTTTGGTTTGCCATTTTTGTTTCAATGAAGGTCTTGCCTATGGGTGATAGCCTGCGGGTGCCTAGGAGTAAATATGTCTGGATTGTTTGCCTTGAGGTTTATTTATCTCCCGCGATTAGAAGATTATCCCCCGAGGAATGGTGACTAGCCCTTCAAATAGTAATGACTGTAGTGTGGAATGAAAAAGATCAATGAAGTGAGGTAAAAGTTAAGGTTGTATCAATCGTAGTTCGTACGGAAATCTTCTCCATCGACTAAGTTTTTGATCTATATATATTAAATAATTTAATATTATTAATATATATTATACAATTTAATAACCTCAGTAATAAACTGATATATAAAGGAATAATCATACAACATCAACAAAATGTCAGTATAAAATACCTGATTCATAACCTACGACTTGGAGGATGGAACCGTGGAAGACTAGGTAGGCTAGCGGGGCAGGTTTTCAATACTACTTACTATACTGGTGGGTTCTATATACTTGCTGTATTACATTTCAAGGGAGGAATAGTTATTAGACCGTGAAATTGGAAGTGTTATAATAACCATCTAGAATGATCTAGAATGGGCAATATGATATGCCAGGAAATGCCTGGTTTGAATTTGAATAACCACTGAAAATTGAAATAAAAAGACACTACCTACCGTCAAAGAAAGACTGACAAAATCGCATACTATCAAGACGAGCTGGAAGAGGAAGAGCAACCTCGAGCAGTTCCACAATTCCAACCAGAATAGGCCAGAGAGAAAAGACTTGACGTCAATTACATTTTCCAGCCCTTATAATGACGCAAAAAGGTGCCCTGTTTTTGTCTGCTAGACCTACTGTGGATGCTACAGTGTCTATTCGAAACACACTCCTTTGAATCTTGACTGTTACAATTATTCGCCATGTTGCACACTTTTCACGCTAGACATCCCGAGCCTTTCAAACACCCTTCCTTCCCTTCTTTTCTTTCTTCTTATCTTCCTTTTCTTGATTGTGCGACTCGGTCATTTTGTCGACACAATAGTAATTCGATCATTCCTTGAGAACCCCACTTCAATATTTCGTCCACTGGCTTATCTCACAGCTCTCATAACGACTTATCCGAATGCTCTTTGGCCCCCAACGAGATATGATTTCCCTTTGAAACAGTCCCCGTTTCGTGGACATTCCATTTTATTAATAACAGGAAGTGTATCTGAAATTCCGTGATTTCTTGACTGCGCTACTGCTGTTGTCGCAAAAAAGAAAAAGAAAATGGACACAAACGCCCAGATCCAGAGACCGCGCAGGTCGTCATTTTCCCAACACATACAGCGATTATTTCATCAAGGAAATGTGAGCTTCTTTCTCCCCATCGCTCGAAGTTGTCTTAGACAGGAAAAAAGATGGTTAATTTCTCAAAGAAAAGGCAAAGCTAAACTTCTCACGTTTTTCAGAATACCAACAACACATTTAAATCCACAGAAAAAGCACCAACCCATAGTTCTTCGCAAGACACGCACGCTTCTATCAATTCTACAGGGCATGTATCATATTCACCTATGTCTGTGAGCTCAAATTTCACGCCCACCAAAAAGACAGACTCTAGCCAGTCTTTAGTACAGATTCATACGAAAGAACCTGATCATGGTCCAGAACAAGTGCAAGATTCACCTTTCAGATTTGACGTTGAGACTGCAGATAGATCCGAGATCTGTGTCTCGCCAACATGGAACAGCAATTCTACAATAAGAAAAGAAAAACGTGTAACAAAACGCCTAGAGGCAGAGAGAAGAGAGCTTGAAAAGCGCCTGAAAAACTTGGAGGAGGCAGAATTGACAAGGAACTTGATATCTTTCAAAAGGGAATCCCGCCGTCTTACCAAAAAGCAACCCATGCGCAGCTCAAGCAGAGATTCGAGCATAAGTGCAGATAGGCCTCGGTCCTCGTCCTCGACGTTTACATCGTTCTTTTCGGGCGTAAGACGAGAATCCCGATCTTGTTCAAACTCTATTAATGGTTATGGAAGCGATAAAGCTCTACCTAGACACCAGTCGACTGGTTCGCCTAGGGAACTACAGAGATGCGATGACCCCGACACACAGCATAGAGCTTCTTTGGCTTTGGCTCTACCCGAGCGGTTTGGGACAGCTATCTCCAAAGAACTGGCCCATAAGAACAACGCCTTGCTTTCGAGCTATATACCATCGACATCACCACAGAGATCACTGCATACGACCACGAAGTCTATAGACGTGCGAGAATGCTCAAGAATATCTCAGGGTACAGAAATATACGGAAAGGTTTTCCAAGATGATACCGAAGCCATTTTCCCTGACAACACAACCTCCATTTCAAATGCCCAGTCAAGAGCAGAGGATGAAATCGGAAAGGCATTGACAACAAATAATGCCTCGAATGAACCATTAGACTTAGACCGCACACTATTCGCAGCATCCCTTAGCACTGGGAAGAGGGCTTCTGGCATCGGTCATTTCCATGTCGGCTCGTCTATGGACACAACATGTCATTCACACGTGCCCCAAAAGATGTCTATACAAGAAGGAAATATCAAATCAAACATGGAAAGACCTTCGACATCTTATACAACAACCAGACTACAGAGTGGTTCTCAGGCACAGAAGGATACAAATATCTCGAAAGATACTTCTAATTCTACGAGCATGAAAACCCCGTCTTTTTCGACCGTCAAAGGCGGCTCACAAGGAAGTTTATCCATAATGGAGTCTACTGATGATGTTTCCCAGAACCATAAAAAAAAATTCAGACCGTCCCCTCTATCAGCAGTCCCAACCACCAATCATGGAGTTGACGTAAATTTGGAGGCTAGGGGAACAAATATCCCGACAACCCCCAAAGGTTTAGACACGACAAAACAAGCGGGCACTGGACCGCCAACTTCTTCTAATCTGTTCAAGTCTTCTTCCAAGTTTGCACAGCAATTGGCATCTCAGTATTCTAAGGGAGAGAACCGAAAGCATTTGGGCTCTTCATTCAATGATTCACAGCCACCAGGGAATGGTTCACGAGCAGGCTCAGTGACTGGGTCTTCATGGCCTACCAATGGGTCATTGCATACTTTTGGGCACCGGCTAAAAAACAAACCAGTATATTCATTCGACCCAGACACAGATAAAGGGGTACAAAGACCGACAACCTTGACAGGCTCACGGTATTACACCTTGCCGATTAGTGCATGGAGGATTTTCAGAAATCGTAATTAACGCAAAGCAGGCCAAGAAATCGTTCGGTAGTAACGGCTTCTTCTAGAAGTCACAAATCTGGCGTTCCTCGAGGAATCCTCGATTCTAGTTGCCAAGATGCATCTCAGTCTTTGGGACGCGTTCCACGACACATAACCCTTGAGGAGCAAGCGGGCGTAGTAAGCGGCTCGTCGTCACGAAGCTCTTCACAGGCAGATTCAGAGGATTACGATACGGCTGATGAGGATTTGCCGGGAATTTTCCAAAGCGACGCTGTCCCGAATGATCATCTGGAAACGGATATGTCAACGACCCCTCTTAACGATTTCGACCAGAAAATCCAGCTATTCAACGCCAATGGAACTTCGTGCTCCGTAATGTCCAGCCCGGCAAATTTCCAAGCGAAGAAGCTAGTTGAAATTGGGAAGATACATCAACAAAGCCAAGTGATTGGGAAGATTTTTGTCATCTGTTGTCGTTGCAAATTTTGGCACGACATGCCCTCTGAAGTGTATGCAAAATTAGCTTGTCCAGATTTATCATTTAACCAGTTAGGCCCCGGTGCCTCTACTCGTGGAACGAACAAACCAACTCATAAAGAGCCTTCCGGTCAGCAGCAGAGTTCGAGACCAAGAGCCGGTGGTACGCAATCGAGATCATTGTTCACCTTTCCAGTCACCCAGCCACTGAAAAGAAGAAGTATGCCAATATCGCACACATCATTACAAGCTCCGGATCCTGCTTTACAGTGTTGTTGGTGTGGGCATAATATGAGCAGACTATGCTGTCAAGGTTGGACTACCGTTGTCCATATGCGCGAAAGACACCATTAGCTTCACCAATGAAAGGAAATGCTACTGTCAATTATTTAAAGTCACACTATAATGCATCTACTCCGTACATAAGTTGTTGTTGTTTTCCGCTTTTCCGTGTAGGCAGATCTTACCTTTTGCTTTGTTTATGAAGATATAACTGAGTAACCTGCGTTCTCTAGAATAAGATGACAATCAATTTAAAAAGAGGAATATTCGTTTCATCCCAGTCGTGGGTCCGATGGTGACTGTATACACAGGGACAAGCTTAATATGAAGTACTTATTGGTTACATATGTCAGTATCTGGCGACGGATCAACAAGTACTACTACATAGTACATAGCAAAAGAGAGGAATGACAAAGCATCGATGAACAAATCAATTGCCGTATTTGTTAGTCGGGTAGTTGATGGGAATTGCTTGAAGAGCTGTTTTTTGGTCTCGCCAATGATGAAAGTCTTTGATAAAGCTAGTCGGACTCGGCAGTTCGTCTTCCCGGAGTCGCTACATGTTGCTAGATAACTACATAGCAAAGACAGCGACAAATTCCATTGACAGAGACATCTGTTTCACTCGGGGTGTTTTCTTTTATCTTCAACTCTCAGGCTCTATGGCGCGTCAGAGGGGGCTTTCGAATGTCTCCTCCACCTCTTCATTTCCAGAGGCAAACCAGGTATGGAGGACCCTCGAGGCCGACCCCGTCACCAACACAATGGGCGATTTTATCTTTTGATTTCTCGTTGCTATTCTCTAATCATGATGCGGCTCAGGAGTTAGAAAGCATGTATGACTACCTGGCCAAGGTTATCCTTCTTGGACCAAGCGGTGCTGGAAAGTAAGTTGGGCGAATTTGATGACCCTTTGTTGAGCTACATTGCTCACATATCCCCTGGGATGAATGCAGGTCCTGTGTGTTACATCGATTTGTTAAAAACGAATGTACGGCTCTGATCCCTGAATGAGCCTATTTCCAGCCCCCCTCGATATCCTTGAGCTGGATGGCCGGCTCGCTAATACTCCGTCTGTGCGCCTGTAGGGAGAGTGCTATCTTCACAAACGATCGGGGTCGAATTTTCCTCAAAAATAATTAAGCTAGGCTCAGGCTCGCGACGTGCACGAATCAAACTACAGCTATGGGATACCGCTGGCACGGAAAGATTTCGGTCTGTCTCTAGGTCCTATTATCGAGGAGCTGCAGGAGCTATTCTCCTCTACGATGTCGCATCCCATGCGTCTTTCACCGCCCTCCCTACATTTTTGATGGATGCGCGCGCACTTGCTTCCCCAAATCTCACGGTCATGCTGGCTGGGAACAAAGCAGATCTCGCATCCGAGTCTTTGCCACATGCTGAATTGAGTGACGACGGAGTAAAACCCCCACCAACACCATCCAGTACTTCCAGCAAGCAATCATATTTCCCGTTTGACTCGGGGGGTAGCTCTTTTCGTTCCGTTAACAACATGGGTGTGGAAACAAGGATGACGGCTTCATTTGCGCCTGAAGGCCGCGAGGTCGGTGCCGAAGAAACGTCTCATTGGGCTGCTAAATCCAACATTCCCGTCGCTGTCGAAGTGTCTGCCCTTACTGGCGAAGGCATAGAGGAGCTCTTTAACCGGCTGGCCCGGATTATTCTTACCAAGATAGAACTTGGTGAAATCGACCCTGACGACCCTCAAAGCGGAATCCAGTACGGTGATGGTGGTTTATATGGCCACGGCACTAGTGACGCATCGAGCATTCGTAGCCGGATGACACTTGATGACAGTGCGACCCAATTCCAGCGTAGAAACACAAGAAGAAAGGGCGGGACAAGCCGGAAAGGTGGAATAGGGGAATGGGAAGATGTCTTCCGGTTGAGCGGATCGTATCAGAGGAAAAGCAGAGGGTGTTGTTAATACCTTTATCCTCTTTCCATTTCGCCTGGTTAAACCTCGTCTGTCTCTGCAGTTTGGCGTCTGCTATACTTTCATTTCTTAAACGTCTAACCTAGCCCACCATATTCAAACACAAAGGCATAAGTGCACCAGTACGTCTTGTATGATTGCGCATATAGTTTTTCTGCACCCCTGTTTCTGGGATGGTTTATGCGCGTGCTCTTTGATCTTTTGCCTGCATCCCCATTTAAGGCTAATATGATGAGTATTCCCTTATTGGCTACACAGCGTCATACCCCTGATGACTTTCATTGTTCTCTTCAAAATTTACGTTTCACTTTATATTACATAGTCTATAACTCGTCATACATGAGAAAACTTGCTCTTGTTGATCAGCGCTAATATTATACCATACTATATTTTATATTATTTCTTTGGCAACTGTTATGAAACTTTTGCCAAAGAGGCAGGTTCAATCATGAGATCACTTTCCAAAAAAACTAATCATTTGATGCTCAACAGCTCACTTTCGCTTCTTACCCACATCGCTCCGACCATGCTCTCGGCGTTAACAAAACCTCGATGGAAATAATAATAATAATAATAATAATAAATAAATAAATAAAAAGATAAAATAAAACAAAAATTCCAAAGGGGAAAGAGAAAGAAAGGGTTGATGGACATTGATTGTTGTCTGTACCCGTTGTGTAATATTCATGCTTCAATACCAGCAATCAAAGTCTTAATTCCTTTTCCGGCTTTAACTTCTTTGAATGCCTGCTCAGCATCTTCGAAATTGACTGTACCGGTGATCAAGTCCCTCACGTTCACTTTGCCTGAAGCGACAAGGTCAACCGCTAGCTTGTAGTCTCCGCTGCTATAGCGGAAACTACCCTTGACGTTCAACTCCTTTGTGCAAGCCGCCATTATTGGGAAGGTGATCTCGCTTCGGCCCATCCCACCCTGTACATATGTACCACCAGTGCGAAGAACATGAATGCCAGTGTGCACTGAAGGTTCAGCGCCGGAAGCATCGATAACAACATCTGCACCCGAACCTAATTCATTCTCCTCCTTCATCCGGTCTGCGTTCGCTACTGCAAGCGTTTTAGCGGGCTCGAATGTTGCCGTTGCTGCGTATTTTTTGGCAAAATCTAGCCTTGCCGGTTGGATATCCACTGCGATAATCTTGGAAGCCCCGAAAGCCTTCGCCACAGCACAACACAGGAGTCCCACAGGGCCAGCTCCGAAAACTACAACTGACTGCCCCGGGCTGACATTTGCTTGTTTCACGATGTGCACAGCAACGCTGAGGGGCTCCATAACTGCACCCTCCTGTAGGGTGATCTGGCTGGGAAGCTTGTAGCAGAAATCCTCGGGCAGAACGTAATACTTCGCCAAGGTACCATCGTAAGGGGGAGTGGCTGCAAAAGCCATGCTTTCGCAAAGATTATATTTGCCAGACTTACAAGGCTCACATCGACGACAAGAGATACCTGGTTCCATAGCGACTTGATCACCCACCTTCAGCGTTTTGACGGCCGAACCAGCTTTACTGATGACGCCAGAAGATTCATGCCCGAGGACCATAGGTTCCTTCACAACGAACTGACCGATTGAGCCATGTTCCCAGTAGTGTACCTGAAGATCAAGAAATCCCAATGTTAGCGACAATCCTACCGGTGGGGCGAGATGATGCATTTGGAGTATCGCCAAGAGGAACGTATACGCACATCACTACCGCAGATGCCAGTATATCTGACATTCACAAGAACATCGTGGGGATCCTTTAATTCGGGAATCGGACGGTCTTCGAATTTGACCTGATGGATTCCTTCGAGGACGAACGATAGGTTCTGGAAGTATATAGATATTTTTAGCTCATTCTCAATCCAGGGGGAAATTTATTGTCAGATTTGAAAGCAGATTTTATCTCATACCTGAGCGGTTGCAGCTTGGGTGCTCATTGTCTGTCAATCAAGCTCTTGTGGCTGTGGATCACTCTATGCTTGGGGAGTGATAATGTATGTACTACTCGAGTACAGTACCAAATGAAGTGATATCACTCTTGAAATCTCAGATTTTGAACCCAAACAGAAATAAATGGCAACCAGAAAAAAGGAGATGAAAGATATATATAAGAGAAGAAGGGATAAAAATACAAATCAAAAGATAGGAATAATTTAATAATGATTTTAATGTCAGGGCAATAATAGAGCTCCAGCTGCTTCCCCGCCAGGTGTTGGTGGGGGGTATTTCAGCCTGAGGGCCAGACTGGAGCTCGGGGCAGCTGATATGGTGGGCGCTTATTGGTGGGTGAAGATTGAAATTAACCGTCCGAAATTAACCGGGATTATATAATCGGTACGGAATAACTAACTAGTTATGCGTGACCGTAATGGAAATACTCCGGTGGAGTTATCAGGATGATGGATTCAAAGACAGGAAGGGGGAAATAGGAGAAGAAAATAAGAAAGCAAAATCCTTCATGTATAATGACAGCAATATTTTATGCAATAAGCATGGTGATGCGTTCATACTTCATAGTTGACAATGGCGAAAGTTGTGTCAATCGCCAAGACTAGATAACTAGCTCAATCCAAGACTGGAGTAATCACCTCCCCAGGGTTAAAACTATTGGAGCTAATGTTATTGTTGCTGCTGAGTCCAGAAGAAACCCCCGTCTCTTCACCCTGGGATCTTCTTATCTTTTCTATTATTGCTATTATACTGACCAATCATACCTCTTTCCAACTACCATGAGCATGGTCAGGCCTGATGCTCTTCCCTTGAGAGCAGCTTTGCGTGCTGCTCGGCCGAGACTGACATACAACATCGCGAACCAAAACCGACAGTTTGGCGTCTCTATTCAATGCCTTGCTGATGAACGATCACATTCTTTCAAGAATCAACTTTATGAAAGTACCCAGCAACGGTTGAAGCGTGAACGTGCGGAGCAGGAACGATTTTCGCAATACCAAACCCAGTCTCCCGGAGGCCGCTATGCAGCTTTGATGTTCGGTACGTAGTTCTCGACGTTAAGGGTCTTTAAATCTGATTTCTAATGACATGCGTGTATAGCATTGGCTTTTTTTTCTACTGGAGCATATTATCTAGGTTCCCTTAAACCAGCCAGTCTCCCATCGTTATCAACGACATCTCTTTCTGATTTAGAGCCCCCGCAGCACAATGTCTCTCAATCAAATCTTCAGGCTGCATGGGCTGATTTTGTTGAGATTTTGGGCAAGGAGAACGTCTCAACGGAAAATGGCGACCTAGAATTGCACTCGGGGTCGGATTGGTCTTCCTACTCGCGAAAGGATGATGAGAAACTGTTCCTTGTACTGTACCCTTCCACTACTGAAGAAGTCTCTCGGGTTATGAAGGTTTGCCATCAGAGAGTGATTCCGGTGACCCCGTACTCTGGGGGCACCAGCTTGGAAGGTCATTTTGCGCCCACAAGAGGAGGGGTGTGTATCGACTTCCGTCGCATGGACCGTATTCTCCAACTTCATAAACGTGATCTGGACGTGGTAGTCCAACCTGCACTTGGATGGGAAGAGCTGAATGAGGAGCTCGCTAAAGAGGGCCTATTTTTCCCGCCAGATCCCGGTCCCGGGGCGATGATCGGGGGCATGGTAGGTACTGGATGTTCGGGGACCAACGCCTACAGATACGGCACGATGCGGGAATGGGTCCTGTCCTTGACAGTCGTTCTTGCTGATGGGGCAGTAATCAAGACAAGGCAACGGCCACGCAAGTCGAGTGCTGGTTATGACCTCACCCGACTTTTCATTGGAAGCGAAGGCACCCTCGGTCTAGTAACCGAGGCCACCCTGAAGCTGACAGTCAAACCCAAAAGCCAAAACGTCGCTGTTGCGAGCTTTCCATCAATCCAAGCTGCGGCCGAATGTGTAACGCGCGTGGTAGAAGAAGGGATTCCGGTAGCTGGTGTTGAGATCCTGGATGATGTACAAATGAAATGCATCAACGCCAGCCAGTCGACCAGCCGGCAATGGAAGGAATCACCTACTCTGTTTTTCAAGTTTACCGGGACCCCTGTCGGAATAAAGGAACAAATAGGCATGGTGCAAAAGATCGTATCCGGCACTGCAGGCCGGTCGTTTGAGTTTGCTCGGGGCGAGGAAGAGATGCAAGAACTATGGGGCGCTCGGAAAGCAGCTCTTTGGAGCGTCATGGCAATGAAAAGAGGGCCCGAAGACCACGTTTGGACAACTGATGTGGCGGTGCCAATGAGCAAGCTCCCTGACATCATTGAAGCTACAAAGCAAGACATGACCGAAAGCGAGCTGTTGGCGGGGATATGTGGACATGTCGGGGATGGCAACTTTCATGGTATGTTTCCTACATAACTTTCTCGTTAATTTTCCCAGGAACTCTTAACTCATCTATCACGTCTCTAGCCATAATCGTGTTTAATCAAAACGAGAGGAAGAGTGTGGAGGCTGTTGTTCACAGGATGGTAAAGCGAGCAGTTGAGATGGAAGGGACAGTGACAGGCGAACATGGCGTCGGTCTCATAAAACGAGACTATCTCGAACATGAGCTCGGGGAGTCTACAGTGGATGCTATGCGGCGGGTGAGTTCTCTATTACTGGACGCTCCAGTATTTCTTTTCTTTTCTTTTCTTTTTTTTTATCATTCAAATCCAAACGCTGGCACGTTCCGACATTCTATCAAAGCCATGAGGGCTCGATCGCTAACATCACACATACAGTTGAAACTGGCTTTGGATCCTCTCCGCTTGCTCAATTGCGATAAGGTCGTTCGCATTGAACAGCCCGGGATTGGAGAGATCAAGGAATGGTAATTGCGCATGCAGTCCTAATGCAGAGTCTATAAAATTTTTCACCCAGACACGAACAAGGTGGGCATCATCGGCCAACACAATTCTGCTGTTTTTGTTAAACTCAGTAATCATCAGAACCGAAATCATGATGACGATGGTGATGGCGATGTTGACGACGTTCTTCATCACTGCTGCCTTGTCCATTAGAGTCTGACTCAGAGCCATAGCGCCGTTCAGCTTCGCGGAAGTTAGCAGAACCTCTAGAGTAAGGTTCCTGTGAGTCATATCCGCCGTAAATTTCTTGTTGGCCACTGTATCCAGGCACATATCCCCTTTGAAAAAAAAAAAAGAAAAGAAAAGAAAATGAGTTAGCGAAAAAAAAAAAAATAGAAACAGCCGCTCATGCACTTCACTTACTGCTCACGCCTTTCATATCCATAAGATTCCCTCTCCATGCTCCTGTAACTGCTGCTAGGCTCATAATAAGATCCAGGGTGTTCTTCAATGTCTCCATGTGGGGTATAATTCCTTCGTGGCTCTTGATGGGGATAACGGCTGTCGTCATCATACCCATAACCAAGTTCATGCTGGCGGCTCTCGCAAATTTCATGATGCTCACGTTCACTTTGATCTCCATATCTGCCTTCGTATGATGAACGATCTGCAACGTAGGCCTCGGAGTCATACTGTTGCTGACGACCATATGACTCCTGCTTCTCATACTGATGCTCTCGAGCGTAATATCCCTGGTTGCCATACTGACGGCGTCCGTATTGTTCTTGGCTTCCAAATTCTTCATGTCGGCTATATTGTCCGTGGCTGCCATACTCCTGGTTCTCATACTGTGGTTGTTGGTAATCATTTCTTTCGGGATAACCATAGGCAGGGGGCCTATTGTCCTCGCACAAGCCAACTTCAGGTCTTTCCGATTTAGAGTCGGAATTGCCATTGTTAATCAATGAGTTAACACCGCTCACGAGCCCACCAACTAAGCCTCCGAGCCCACCACCACCGGCGGCATTGGTAGCAACTCTTCCAAAGCTGCTGATATTTGATTGCTGACTTTGATTAGAATGAGCACTACCTTTATGTAAGGCCAACGGCTTTCCGCAGCCATGCCCGGAATCGTGAACCCCTTCTTTGTGATTTTTACCTTCGAGAACGCCGTCGCGGGACAGCTGCTCGCGAAGAGATTCCTGTTCGTTTTCACTTTTCCCGCTCCACCACTCTTCAACCGTTCCGAACATAATCTGGCGGATGTCGGCTGCACCATCTTCCCCGTACTCACGCAGAGCGGGGTGATGGAAAACTCCAGAAACAATTCTATCCAAAGCCCGATCAATATCAGCGTCCTCATCATCCCAGCACGCCATCAGCTGTGGAACTGTCCATTTGATCACTTGAGAAGCTATTCGACCTGCTGGCTCGTTTAGGATATTCGAGAAGTGGTCCTTCGAGAGCATTGAGTGGGTCGGGTTTGAGCAGTCGTCATCATTGAACACAACATGCTGCTGTTCTCTGCTACTCTGGATAACCTCGGAGGACCCAGTCTGTAGCTCAACCTTGACTTGCTGGATAATTGGAAGAACATAAGGCGCAAGAATAGAAAAGACAAAGACCGTTATTTGATCTTGGATCTGTTCGATGAGCTCCGGTAGCACGGGAATTTTCTCAATTGCTTGGTTGATCGACTTGATCAGTTCATCATGCCATTCCAGGACTGGAAAAATTTGCGCTTGGACATTGTTTAGGTAATTGGTCCATTGCTCAGGTTCACGAGGACTTGGACGCTCGCCATTATTTTTGGTGTCATCTGCCTTTGCCTTGAAGTCATCCATCCTGTTTGTCTGACTATCGCTATCGTCGATAATTCCATCGGGAATTCTGCTAAGCAAGTCCTGTATGAAACTTTCGGAGGGGGACCCGGCTTGGGATTCATTGATGACACCTTCCAATGATTGGACTTCGGACTGAGTTGCTTTATCGGATAACTCCCCAAGCACAGAGTGAAAGAAGTCCACTCCGCCAAATGTGCCAGTGACGATTGGATAAACATAATCCTGTGCGCCATCAACTTCGAGTTTAGTGTTTCGGCCAACATGAGGAAACACCTCGGATTCTCCAAGCTCGATGAGGCTCAATTCCGTATAATTCGAATGAGCGGCATAATCTTCCAGGCAATGCAAGCCAGTGCCAAGCAACCGAAGGGCTTCATAAAGATCGTCGTCACTTCGGGACCTCGCATATCGACGGCCCAGCTGAATAGAGCGGTGGAAAACACGACGTACTAGATTAGCCGATGTCGCAATACCCATATCCTCAGATGCAATGTAGTTTTTGAGGCCTTTATTTGGTGATGGAACCATTGTATCAGCAAACTGATTAGAAGAAATTAACCGGGGTACTATATACCGGTCCTTGAATCAACCGAGAGCTCATTCTCCTCGTCAACGGGCCCTCTCAAACGATGATCATAGTCACGAGCGTCCTCTCCCTCAGCATAACCCAGTGGGTTGTCAATATGTTCTGTAGGTTCGTAACATCCCAAACGATCTGTGGTCACCTCAAATTCTCTTGTTCCGTACCTAATGGCCATTTCTTCAGCGAACTAAGCTATATTGCGTAGGCTAGGTGGCTTACCCAAAACTCATAAAGCCCAACACCCATATCAAGATGCGAATGGCTTCGGCGCTGACATATTTTAAGGTACCGACATCGACGGCCTGGCTATAGTCGCGGAGCCAATTGCCAAAGTAAACACGTTTGACATCAAGCTTGCTAAACTTACGACCACCCGCAACACGGGCCAGAAAAAGAGTCAAAAGTGCATCTTCAATATCGCCATGACGCCAGTTCTGGCCCTCAATGCGAGATAAAGATGCTATGTTACCAGCGCCAAATGCGTGGGCTTGTCCAAAAAAGCCAAAAATAAAGAAAACGGAGAGAGACAAGCTCTGGGAAAATAGACTCATTCTTTTGAGCCCTTGCAGGAGCAAATAAGAACAGGCTGGAGAAAACTTTGTTAGGGAAGAAAGAGGGCAGGTATATAATGGATGGAAGCTCTTCAAGTGGTTTCAAGCAAAATTTATTTAGCACTCTGGTATGCAAGCAACAAGGCAATGAATAAGATATGGAGGGAGAATCAAATGCAAACCGAAAGGGAGACGAAAGAGAGAAAAGAGGAGACATGGCGACCCCGCCATGTGCATACAACAATCGGCCACCATGGGAAGTGATGGACAGCCCAGCGTAGGGTGGGGTGATTGGCTCTTATTTTTTCAGGCGGTTTGATCTTGGCTATATGAGGCGTCTAGTTTGTCACTCCGGCTCGCTTGGCACGGCAACTCATTTGCTGCAGCTTCATTGTACTGCGTACTAAATACCTGGATGGTAAATGAAGGCAGAGTCTGGACATGTCACTCTGGGAGTCTGGGTATGGCGTTGTGCAGTAAGATATGGCCATGCAGAAATCAATATGTAATAGGGTACAGAGAATGAGCATAGGGTATACCTAGGGCTAAATGTGTGCAGATGACAACACCCATGATACTCAGTATCTATATTGAAGCAAGAAGCCTGGTTGAGTATTAGATTATTATTTTCTAGTCCAGTATCAATTCCTGGATAAATAGACCCACTCACTTGATATGTTAACTTTTTAAACCTGTATCCACTTATGTATTGATGTCCAGGGAGGGGGAAATATGGGAGGGGTGAAAGTAATAGTTCTGGTGGGAGACAGCTATGACGAAAGATATTAATATGTAGGCCTAATACGGGTTACCTCACATCTCTTATCTTTTGCTTTCTCTCTGAATGCTTAACCAGCCTTTTTAATCCCATTATTTCATGAATATAAAAGTATTGTGAGCGATACCCGAGCGTCACCAACCCCCAAGGAGTCCCAAATAACAGAAACAGCAAACAGAGATGCCAAGATAGCCAGATTCATGAAGCTATTTAGATTTCCGAAGGCCAGCCAAAAGTCTGTACCAACTTAGTGGGCTGTGCAAACCTAGCTCTAGTAGGGGGGAGAAAGCAAGAAAGAAAGGAGGGGGAGAGGGGAGGTGCGGGAACTAACAATTACCTAGATATAATCAGCAGGAACTGCATGATATTTCACACCTAAAACAATAATAATCAAAGAAATAATTGAATGCAAAGCAATAATCCTTCCCAGATAGTGCTCCTCAGCAGCAACGGAATGGCCGGAATAACTATGGTGAATTAATTGCCTCCCTTAGTGAGCCTCCGCATCCGTCACCCCCTCTCCCCAACCCTCCGTCGCTCTCCGCCGCTGTAACCTCACCGCTGCCCATCGTCTCTCCCCTTAAGTCTTGCCTGGTATCAATCTGCCGCTTTTTGGACAAAAGATCTTTGTCCTCATTGTCTAAAGAAGCCTGCTCTCGATGCCTTAAATCTCCAGAAATGCCTGCTAGGGTCATTTGTCGTTCCTCTCTAAATGCTTTCTCACCCTGGCATTAATTCCGGTCAATAATCGAACATCGCATACGCGCCTTCGCCCCGGGCGTTAATCGGCCTTATTTTTGATAATCTGGATAACTATCATCGCAATTCTTTCTTTCTCTTTACAATACCCTTTCAGGCCTCTTGTAGGGTCTTCAGGACTTGAAGAACCTAAGCTTTTTTGGCCAATCTTATCGCTGCATACTGCATCGGGTGTCCGGGTCTGGTTCCCGCTTGCCTTGTAGTTCAGCTGACATCCTTGACGACAATGCATCGCACAATACATTGCTAAGAAACCCTAATACCTGCCAGAGATACAGAGATACAGAAAGAGAGAGAGAGAGAGAGGGGAGGGGGGTAGTTTTTCTCTCCAGAGAGTTCCTTATGGCACGCTCAGGCATTCACGTCGCTGGAGATTCAACGCAATCAATTGTAAAAAACTCAAGAGTTGGAAACTTTGAACCAGTTCTCCATCCTGGGGTTAATGCTCACTCTGCTCATTTGAAGAGTTCCAGTATCGAGAGTCGTTGGGGTTCATTCCGCAGCGATACCAAGCCTTTGGTTCGCCGCTCTTCCCAGTTCAGCGATTCTAAGAATTTTGTTCCTTTGCTACCTACACCTGGGAGCCCCTCTTCGTCGAAGAAAACGAAACGGATCTCTATGTTTTCTAGTGCAGTCACGCCAGGTCCAAGTTCGTGCGAAGCACCTCGGCAGAGTTCGGATTCACACTGGTTGATGGGTGCATCTACTTTGAATACTTTCTCTGATGGCTCTGGTAATCAGCCACCGAAAGTCAAGGGAACCACAAAGGCAGAAGTACATATGAAACCTCTTTTAAGAAAGATGTCTCGTGATGATACATCGTCGAGACCAATCGATCTCTCACGATCCTCTTTTGACCAGAAAGGATTAGGAATTTACACAAACTTGGAAAGGGAAGACCGTCTAAATGATCCGTTTACCATTTACACTTTCCAAAGGCCGGCACCTGGACTGCATAATCGATCTACAAGCGGGACCTCTCAGCCCTCTGCAGTGAGCAGTTCAGACACGAGCAAGCCAGGCTCACAATGCATCCATCCAATGCGCCAGGCACCTCGCTCATATACACCGCCATTAGGGCAGTCATATCAAACATCAATAATCGAAAGCGATGACTCTGGTAATGGAGACTTGGCTGAGGGAGAGACTCCGGTTCAGTCGATCTCGGGCACTTATCAACCATTTGTGCGAGCACCCTCGGGGCAGAAACCCCGATTGTCCCTGCAGACTCATGACAATTCGTTTACAAAGTTGCCCGGGATTTCGCAGACGAACGTAACTGGTCGGTCCTCGTTCGGTTATTCCAGAGATAATGGTAGCAATATCGACCCAACATCTCCCATGTCTAGGTCATCCTTGGATTTTGTGTTTCGATCCAAGACACGGAACAGTATGGATCCAATATCTCGAGCAGCTACTGTACAGGCAGCACGCCAGGCTTTCGAGGAGAAGGAAGCGGCCAAGACGCAGAAGTTGGAAAAGCAACAGTTTAAAGCGGAAGAGAAGCAAATGCGACGAAAGGAGAAGCACTATCACTGGCGGTCATCTTTGAAAGATGACGAAATGCCGGAACCGGTCTCAGAAAAGGAGTTTTCTGAAAGATCATATACACCTGAGCTGCCTAGGCACTCTCCTGCCACATCACAACCATCTGGGCCACAATCAGGCTCGTGGAAATCACAACCTAAAAATACCTGGATGCTCTTTATAACGTGGCTACGAACCAGAGTCTTCAAATTGCGGAGGAAGTTACCAAATCTCGGTTGATTGTTTCCAATGTGATTATATAAAGCCATGGCGATACAAAATAAAATAAATATTAAAACAAATGAATTGAACCCTATTATTCTGACCTTTCTGCTCTTTTCTAAGCCTTCGGGAATCTTTGTAGGTAGTTAGGTAGGTAACAAAATACTTGACATCTACAGAAGTATTGTTATTGTTGCTGATGTGTATAGATCACGTGATATGACCGTGAAGTGCACACATGCATCATCTGCGCCGCCAGACTTTGCCTCCTTGCCTACGGTGTTCCTTTACGTCCTGTTGTCAACTACGGTGTACAAGAGCGACAATAGGTACCTTACAACTCATCAGCTGGTCCACAAAACTTCACCACTCTACCCCTTATCTTGTACGCGCCAGGTTGCGCTGGGTTAAACCCCAGAGACGCACCTCCAATTTGGGGGTAGCGTTTCCTGCGAGCGTGATTCATCATGGTTTACGATTGGGATGGAAAGCGGGAAATCTGCTATCAAATGTACATCAAAGATAAAAAAGCTTTGGAGGAAATTATGGAGTTCATGAAGAATGCCTATCAATTTGCGCCTAGGTAAGCATTTATAGCCACTATCATGCGTTCCCGAACACGTTTGAGATTTATTCTATTCTTTTGGTCATATTGGCGCGTCGGAATACAGTTTCGTTTTCTTCTCGCTCACAACGTATAAACTTTTATAGTAAGCGGGCTTTTCAGACGCAGTTCAAGCGATGGGGGTTTCCATCAAAACAAAACCCAGCACACAAAAATATCGACCTTGTCGCTCGTGTCAAGCAACTGTGGGAGCGAAACACGAGCCAGCGAGATATGCTTCGGATCTTGAATGAGGAGGGGTTTGAAATTAAAGAAAGGGAGTTGATGCGCGTGCGTGCAAAAAACCGCTGGCTACTTCGCGTTCCCAATGGGATGAAATCCCAAACAAACACACAGACTCTAATACAGCAACCTGAAGACGAGGGCCTACTTGCTCTACAGCAGGAAGTATACAAGAACGATGTGCCGTTTGATGATGCCGATCCTTTTCCTTCGGAATCAACAGCGCAACAACCCCAATCACCTACACTGTCACCCGAAGTGATCGCGAAGCGCAAAGAGCGACTTGAGCGCCTGAAGGCAGAGAGCGCAGAACGTTGGGCCGCCAGAAAACGCCGTCGCCGCACGCGGGGGTGGGCTGGATTACCAGCTGATCCACCTGGGCCTCCTCGGTTTCCATCCGAGACAACTATCGATGAAAGTAAAAAGTATCTCAGCTTAGACAATGCTATGTACCGTCAACTTAGAGATCAATTCCAGAAGATCTGCGAGGAAGCGGGCTTCATCAAGAAAACTGTCGCAGGGCCAGAGAAATGGCAGGAGGCAAAAGATAAACTAATACACGAATCGCCCCATCTTCAGCAGATATTCTATTCTGATCCAAATCAAGTTGATGCGAAAGGTCTTGCCCTCGATGTTGTGTGTACGGATGTCACTAAACGCATGAGAACCCTTGAGAGGCGAATGACCATCGCTGAGGCAAAAAACGCTCTCGGAGTCAACCCAGAAGAGAGCCGTCAAATACGGAATGCATTTTACGACACATTGAAGGCTGATCATTTTACAAGCAAGCTAGAGGCCGGTGATGAACACTGGAAGGAGCTCAAGGAAAGGTGGATCCAAAATTCCGAGCTGCTTCAACAAATTCTAGCTCCTGGTCCTACAGATCCAAGACACACCATGAAGCTAAAGGCTCTTGAGGTTCTTTGTCGCGATGTTATGAAGCGACTTAGGGACGATCAGACAAAGAGGGATCCGTCGCGTAAACAATCCGCTCCCCATGCTGACACTCAGAGCCCTGTGCCTCACAACAACCACGTCAGTAACACATTTGGTAATGATATCAGTAATGGAATCAGCACACTCGCTTCACAAGCTCTCGCCAGTGCACCGATGGCTTCAAGTGACCTGGGTGATATGCAGATAGACCCATCTCTTTTGCAAGCAGCCAATGATCCATCTTTTACGGCGGCTACTCAGCATGATGCAAATTCTTTTGGCTACGTGGATCCCATGTTGGGATCGACTGTTCTGCATACACCAGTATATCTTCGCATCAGCCCGCAGAGTCATCTACATGGAGCCTCGAAAACATGGGTGGAGAAGCTAGCCACAAGATCCGTTGCTGAACTACGTCAGATTGTCACTGGAAGATACCCTGACTCGCTCGTCACAAGGATTGAAGGCATGGATAAAGACGAAAATGGGAATGAGACACCCTTTTTGATTGACGAAGACCATGAGCTCGATGCCTACTTAACCCATGTGCATGGGCGAAAAGCGTCATTTCTCTTTTGCTTGAGCCCAACTTGATCATCTGCTTTTCTTGCGGTACCGGTGCCCAGCATACTGTAGGATGAAGGGAATGAGGTTTCATATACTAGGACCTCGGTAAAGGCTTTTCAAGATTTGCACGGCACAATCATAGCCCATGCGAAACGAAAAAAAAAAAAAAAAAGAAAAAAAAACCCCTTTCGTGTGTGTCAGGAGATCAATAGATTCTGTTTGCGCAAAAATGATCACATTCAGGACTAATGCATTCTGGACTTGCTCTTGCTCTTCCTCTCCCCCAACAAAAGACTGATTTAACAAGGCAAGATCTTGTTCACAGTGAAGTCGAAATCATCTGCTATAAATGTTATTGTTGGCTCTGCTGGCGGGCTATAAAGCTACAAAAATAATCATATCAACATGTAATGAATAATGAAAATGCGTTTTATTGCCTTACTATCAATGGTGTTCTCCATGTCTGGGCCTACACAAATTTGAGCCTATAGTCAACTAATTAAACAGCTTAAACCTATAGTTTGACTAGTCATTTTAATGGTAGGCTTTAATGCAAATTTAAATCATCTTCTTCAAACCTCATAGGTAGTATCCAGGCAAACAGTAAGGATCCATGGAAAAAGGGTAGGTAGTGGGGGTCGGTGTAATAAATTTAGCAACTGCCATTAACAGAGGCAGTAAATAGTCCATACTATTTCTATAACGATTTATAGTAACACACCATTGACAACACCATACTTGCTTCAACATGGAATCGTCCTGATGAAATTTCTTCTGAGTTCTGACATTACCAAGGTCAGACCAAAAAGGCCTCAGATGACGGGAAATGTTAGGATATTTCCCGAAGTGGTTTCTTCGTCATCGTAACTTATGAGTAGCTTTACCTTGAATCCTTCTAACTGGAGGCAAAATTCTTCATTGGTATTTTCTAGGTATTTGGAGTTTCAATCCTTTCTGAATGATACATGGTCTTTTGATTTAGACGCTTTGTATCAATCCCGAGCAACACAAAAAAGAAAGAAGGAAAGAGGGAAACCACGGAGGATGATATAGCTCAGCGGCAGTTAACCACTTGGGTTAGGATCCAAGCCACTTTTGATAGCCTCTAACCGGCCTCTCACAAAGAAGTTTCCAGGTATCTAGAATTATATAAACAAGGATGCTGCAGCTACAGGTAGTATGGCATGACCCCATCAGTCTAACAAAATAGGCTGGTCCTGAGATTGCTTGGTGGAAGCAGCTCATTCAAAGGCGTGCCTATATCCGATGAATTGTTTATTAGCTGGCAACATGACCCAACTCATTCGCGCCAAACTCTTCTATAACATATACTACAACATCAAAAACATTTTCACCAGGGAAAAGGAAAGAAAGAAAGAAAAACAGAGAGGTAATAAGAATCACATCATCACTGGAGCATTCCCCTTTTTGCATAAAATATCTAGACTAATAAAGCAGTCATGAGAAAGGAAGTCAAAGCTTGTATAGTAAATTGACAGGTTCGGCAAAAATCAATTCCCGGCTCTGTACAATTAGCCAAGAGACTGAACAACGGCCCTGAAAAGAACGCTGGCAGGGGGCAAGACAAAGGAAGGAACGTCCCCAAAAACACTAGCTAAGCCCTTAGTTTGCGCAGATTGCTCGCCATTGGCTGCAGTCGAAAGCCCCGAATACTGAGATTTGGTGCTGCCCAGTTGACCCCCGAATAAATCCATCAGCCCTGGATTGAGATGATTAGTCAAATCAAAAGACTGGGATGTGAGTTCGGGTGCCTTGTTGAAACAACCGAATCGTTTCACGTTGGCTGCGGTATCAATGACGACATAATCGCTCGAGTATGAATTTGAAAGTAATGCAAGGGGGCACCTATCAAGCATGAATTGAGAGTGTAGTATCAGAGACTGCACATTATAAATCCGAATGGAGAACTGGGTATTGCGTGATTTTTTGGATGTGTGACCAGTATGGTTTAGTAAATGTTGTGTTGCAACAGCAAATGTCTGGGTCTTGGAATTCACGGCTAATAATAGTGATTCTTCATTTGAAGACAAACCACCAAGCCCTGGAGTCCCAGTGGTTCTCACGATGTCATTGACTGTATCCCAGATAGAAACAGCATGTTTTGAAGCAATGATAAGATGGCGCCCTATAAAGCTCGTTGCGCATGGATTGCCCCAGAATGCCCCAACTCTACTGTAATGAACCTTACAGTTTTGAGCATCAATTAGAATAACAAGGCCAGGGTTTGAAGCAGATTGAGATGGCAAACAAACAGCAAGCACGGAGCCATCATCTGAGAAGGCTGGACAAGCTGTAGGAAGATTTCTGGCCTTGTTATTACCAAAGCTTCCCTTCAAATCAATAAAGCTTCGACACTTCCATGTCTCGAGCTGCTGCTGTGCATCAGGGCCTGTTTTCAACCCGCTACGTTGTCTGGTGCTTGGACACCAGAAACGCAGTAGGGCATCAGAACCAACAGTTACAAATTCATAACTTTGTGGTCGCGATGCAAGGCCGAGTACCAGTGCATGGCCTTTATCAGAGAAATGAGGACCATCGATGCGCGTAACCAACTCCCACAAGCTGGAAAAGTCGTTCCACTTCCAGAACTTCAAGAAGGTCTCCTGGTAATCGGTGCCAGTATTGCTGAGATCAAGAGATCTCACATCTTGAGGGTAAGGGCTCCATGTATCGATTGTCGCCATCCATTTGCCGTCGTGGGCTACATCGATGTGTTTGATATCTGGTGCAATTATTTCTGATCCCTCTGGGCTAACTCTCAAGGTCGTGGCATTGGTCCGCGCAAGAGCTTGGCGGGCAATGTGGCTATTAGTCCGGATATCATATGTCTGAAGGACAGAAGAATTTGGCAAATGGTGGCCTTCCTGGGAGACTTGGCGAGAAGCTGGAACAGCTATTAAAAGCTGATCAGGTTGCCGCGGATGTAAAATAGCTGGTGTGGAGCTAGAAAACTGGCATGAGGTTGACGAGGACTTATCCAATGTTTGAGTCATCTTTGGACACAGCTGCAAACCTATGATAGTCGCAAATGGTTGCAGTTCTCTCGCCAACAGTGCCATAATGCAGTTATCGGCTAGCTTTACAACGTATGAGTTTCCGGTTGGAGAAACGATTATGTTGCAAATTGGAGAAGATAGATGTGGGAGATACTGCTTTCTACCCGTGTCCAGCTGCCATAGAACCATGACTGATTCATGGCCTCCTGATATAACATAATTACCTATGTAATGGCATCAGTACCGCTTTTTTTTTTTTTTTTTTTCCATTGCTAATTCCAATTGGGGACGTACCATCCTTTGACCAACGAACCGTGTTAACGGAACCTCTATGCCAGTGCAGCCGCCTAGGGGCTGGGCTTTTCCCGCCTTCACGGCTATCCTCATTGGCTGTGAAGAAATTCAACACATCACTATAGATCAGAATAGAGCCATTAGACTCTCCCAACACAAGATCTAAGTGATCTGGACTTTTTTTATCCTTGGAACCCTGAGCCCCGACGCGAGCTGGAGTTGCACTTCCCCGAATGTCGACACAGGTGATGCTAACGGGCAGCGTTGCCTCTCTCCAGACATACTGCATTGATTTCAAATCATTCAACATATTGAAATTCGAAGTGCCAACCAAAAAATGCTGTCCACCATACAAAACAACAGTTCGACCTTGTCGGGCTACCTTGAGGTCGCTGACTCGCAAATTCGTCTCGAGAATAACATTTTCACTCGGTTTATTCCTGCCCAATTGAGCGATTGTTATTTCCCTTTTTCCATCCTTCCTTTCTCGTAGAGAATAAACGGCAACGTATTCATCGGTTTCAGATTCATGAAAAGAAATGTCGATGGAGGTGGTTTTGCCACACGCATCCCATGACCACATCTTTCCTCCAGAAAGCCATTCCCATTTACTAACAGAGCCAGTGGATGTGAAGATGTAAAGGTGCTCTGGATTTAATGGACAGAGCCTATATCCGATAACATTTTGGCCAGATTCCAAGTCCAATGTGCGAAAAAGGCGTGAGGTAGCCATGGAATAGACGTGAACCGAAGTCTCAAGGCCGAGGAGTAGATATCTATGTCGAAATCCATTTAGAAATACCCCAAATCAAACACCAGGGAAAACTCACTCTTCATCCGGCGTAAAAACGGGATCCAAATCGCTATACTGTCCAGCAACATGATGCACCGATGACCAAGGCACATGTCGTGATTCCCCAGTGTGAATAAAGCTGGCATCTCCAAGTGATGGGGCACCATCATGATAGTCGATCGATTCTTGCGCAACTTCAGGTGTAGCCAATTGTCGACCTCTTTCGTCACCGTTATGAGGCCGAGAAAAGCGGCGCCGCTTGATTCTCTCTTGATCCATGCGTGTCATTTTGCTCTGAACCGGCTCACTGGCCCGAGATCTTTTGGAAAATCGAGTTGGGTGGTTGGAGTCTGACATGGTTAAAGGCGTCGAATACCGATAGCCTATGGAAACTTCTCGTTCAATAACTTGTGTTTATTTATTGATCATATCATGCTAAGTACATGATATAGAAATGTGATTATATCAAAATACTGAAGAGATAGAGTGAAACAGAGTGCATTTGTTTGCAACTCTTCACTTTCCATTCAGTTTCTATCTTCTAATTTTTTTTTGGTTGGGGGGTTTGTAAAGCGGAGACTCCACTAGGCTAGACGCTAGTGTTAATTAGGTTAGTATATTTTCACTGTAAGCGGGCTAGGCGTTCCGATATCCATTAGAGCAATTCACGACAATTTGCGGCTCATAGGAGCATCAAGAAATTTGACAGAAAGTCCATTTTTTTACCATCAAGGAAAGGGAATAGAGAATTCGCATAACATTCCTCTTTGAAAAAAGGAAAGAGAGAAAGAAAGAAACTCAGCATCCAGTGGTTCTCGTTTGCTCTCACTGAAATTTTTGTCAATCGACGAAAACCTAGACAAAATGATCATTCCTGTTCGCTGCTTTTCCTGCGGAAAGGTAGGTGTCATGAGTCTTGACAGCTCTTAATAATTCTAATATTTACCTTGAACAGGTCGTCGGGGACCTCTGGGAACGCTATCTGCAACTTCTTGACGAGGGTATTCCGGACGGGTATGCTTTGGATTCAGGATTTTACTGTTAGAATCATATTGACAAGTATCCCCAGTGATGCTATGGATCAGTTAGGTTGCAAGCGATATTGCTGTCGCAGAATGATCATGACACATGTTGATCTGATTGAGAAACTCCTTCGGTTAGTAAATGTTTTTTTTTTTCTCTCCTTTCTCTCTTGGGAAGGCAGCAGTTCGATAACACTCATATTTCACAGTTACAATCCGACAGAGCGAGAGCGGGCTAAATCGCAAATATAAATTCGGTTTAAGTCGTGGAATATCTGTGATTACGACAGCCCAGTAATTGAACCCGACACTGCACCCAACCAAAAATCCAAGCTTGCAGTTTGCGCATTCTCGAGATGGCGACTCCTATATACGACCCTCGCTTTCATCTTTGCCACCGTTCATTCATCACTTGCGTTGTCGTCCCCAGGGTGTTGAACGTTAGGCTTACCAGGCATGAAGCCCTATGAAGCTGGCTATGATGCAAAAAAAATGGTCTTTGGTTTCTTCTAAGCGCATTTGCATATATGTCACCAGTCAGGCGAGATACCTTTCATTTCAGTGATATTCACACTATTCGTGATTAATATTGGCCTTGGCCCTTGGGAGAGGGTCTATTGTTGCCATTGAAAAAATGGCTGCCGGGCTCACCTCTATGCATATGCATGTCTAAGTATAATACAATTAGGCACAGACACGCTCCCCTTCTCTTCTATGTATTTTGTTATGCTTTTTCTAGCTCAAAAAAAAAAAAAAAAAAAGGCTGGTGAAAATCCAGCGTGGGAACTAAGAACTATGCAAACTTCCAACTTTAAGGGACTAAGCAAGAGATTTCTCACTACTAGTAATATAAATATTATATATAAGAGTATTACTTTATTTACTATATTTAGATTAGTATTAGGATTAGGGCTTTAGATTAGTTATATATGTATATATAGAGAGAGATATTAGTAAATAAAAATATATAGAGTAGTAATTATTATATATTGTCTTACTAATAGTAATATAACAGTAAGTTTATTAATTAGTACTAGGCAAAAGAATATCTAGCTAATAATAATATAATACCTTAATAGGTTATAATAATTAATAGATATTATACAATATCTTGTAGAAAATATATTAAGGATTTAACTATAACTAATAGCTTTAGTTAGTAAACCCTATACTATTAATATAGAATTAAATACTTATAATATCTTAGGGTATAATTTTATATTAAGATAGGACTAGATATATATAGTAAACCCTATTAAGGATTTTATATAGTATATATAATAATATAGACCTATATAAAGAGCTATAAACTTAATAATAAAAGAGAGTATTAAAATTATATGTCACACCCTGGGATCTCGCAATGGTACCTAACCTGTAACCTATAAGTCAAGCCTGGGGTATACTAACCTATACCCCTAATCTAAGGATATTAACAGTAACTAGAGTGCTTCTATAAGCTAAGGTACTTAAGAATATAGTATAGTAATTAAAGAGAGAAGAAAGGCTAAGAAGTATATATACTTCTTAATTAAGCTAGAGATATATAAATAAGTAGGTAGAATAACCTAAGAATAGTTTAAAATATAACTATAGATTAATAACTCATATTAATTATAAAGAACTATCTAAGTATTTAAAATAAGTATCCTTATATATCCTTCTCTAAGTATACTATTCTATTATTTCTATATACTATCTTAATAGTAGTTCTAATAGTAGTTATATACTATATACTATATCTTAGTAATAGTAGATAGTAGTTAATTATATAAGTATAGTAGTATTATTAGATAGTAATTACAAAGAGTATTATAATAGTAAATTATAATTCTTTATAATAAGAATATCCTTTTCCATTAACTACCTAATTCTATTTAATATAGTTATTAATAAAGGTACTATAATATAATCCCCCTCTCCTAGGATTATTATCCCTTAATAATTATAAATTTACTATATCCTCTATTTAAGTAAGTTTCCTATTAACTTCTTTTCTTATTTTCTAATAACTTATTATATATCTAGATCCCTTAATACTAAAAAAGCTTATAATTAATATTATAAGTTTTAATCTTAAGCTAATAAAATTAAGAAATAGGGTATTCTTATTAATAATCCTTACTCTTATTATAAGAGCTATAGTTTTATCTATATAATAAACTCTAAGAGTTAGAATTACTTATTATATATATACTATAGTTAGAAATATAGTCCTTACTTTCACTCTAATTAAGAGTAGTTAAAGCTTAATTATAACTATAATAGTCTAGATACTTAGATTAATATTACTAAAAATTAAATTAAGGAATTATTTATAAAACTAAAAAATCTTAAAACTTATTATAAATTCCTAAATAAATATAGTTAAAAGATAGTAGAGCATAATTTAAATCTAATAGATATAATAAATATTAAAGATCTATTAAGTACTAAGGATCTCTAGGAAATTAAGTAAATAGTAAAATAAATAGGAGGCTACTTAACTTATTACTATATTAGATAATCCTAGTTTAACTTAGATATTAAATTCCCCTTCTTTTTAAGCTAACCTTAATCTATCTACTAGTAGAATTCTTTCACTAACTAAGGGTAATCTATTAAATTTAAGATAGGTTCTTATATATTTTTTAAGGTATTATATCCTTTCTATTTTATTAGGTAAAGTAGTCTACTACTAAATTTTTAATATCTTAAGATTTTTTTAACTTTATATTCCTATTTATTATTATTATTAATTTCTATATTTTAAGTGAGTTTAGTATTAGCCAGTACTAGTTCTAATAATAAAATATAAAAGACTAGATATATATATTTTATTAATTCTAGTAGTTATAGATAGTAGTTAACTAGTCCTATCTTTTCTTTAACTATAAAGGGTCCTAGTTTTTAATAATTAAGTTTTATACTTAATCTCTTTATTTTAATATTTTTATAAAGTAGAAATACTTTTCCCCCCTTCTTAAGATCTAGTCCTTTATTATATTTTATATTATAATAGCTAGCTATCTATAGGTTTATAAATTCTAAGTCTATTAAGAGTTATTAATAATACTATTCTATTATTATTATTAGTTATTCTACTTCTAAGTTTAATTCCTATTAAAGTAGTTTTCTAATAATATTTAGGTATCTATAGTAATTTATATAGAATAGTATCTATTTTATAATTAAGTATATAGAGTTATTAAATATAAACTATACTATAGGTAATAATTCACTACTAATAGTTAATATAGTATTATAAATATTATTTAATTATCTAATTAGTCTACTTAGTTTACCTATTTACCTATAGATAATAGATAGTAGTTAAATAGTAATAAACTCTTATTATCCTTATAAGGGATATCTAGAATTTTAAGGTAAATAGTTTATCTCTATCTATGGTAATATTTTTAGGTAAACTATAATTTATAATAATTTCCTTTAGGAAGATAAATACTATTTATTTTATATTAAGTATATTTATTATAGGTATAAGCTATATATACTTAATAAGTTAGTTAGTAAAAACTATAATAATATCTTATCTACTTAAGGGTAGTAACTAAGTAATAAAATCTACTATAATCTATTCCTATAGTTTTATAAGTAATTTTTAGTAATTATATATTCTTATAAGGTTTATATCTTACTAGCTTATCTTATATATATATTTTATATCTTATTATATATATATATATAATTTTACTTAAAGGTATAGGATATAGAAGTTCTTAATAATATATATTATTATTTATTCTACTCCTATATGTCTAAATATTAGTATATTATAATATATAGTAATAACTTTAGTCTATATACTCTTAAGTATATATATAGATAAGTCCTTTAAAGTATATAAATCTATTAATATCTTTAAGTTTCTTAAGTATCCTTTAAATTATCTAATCCTTTCTAATTTCTCTAATAAGCTTTTATTTAAATTTATTTAATCTAATTTCTATAGTTACTATAATCTAATATTAGTAGTTATAGCTAAGACTACTATCTTTATTTTACTTTAGAACTATTAGTTTATAATACTTCCTATTATATATATAATCTAGTTATTAGTTAAGTATATCTACTTAGCTATTTTCTATTCCCTTATAATATATAATATAAAAGGTATATTTTAAAAGTACCTCTAACTATCTTATCTATCTTTATATTAACTCTTTAATTATTATAAAGTTCTTATAATCTATTTTAATAAGAATTTAATATTAAGCTCCTTTTAGACAGACTCTTTATATCTTAAAGGTAAATACTATTACTAATAGCTCCTTATTATAAATATTATAATTTAGTTTAGCTTAAATTAATTTTCTTAAATAAAATATAATAGGTTATAGTTTTTTTACCTTTTTCTAGTTATATTATTCTTATACTAATTATATAGTCTAATATATCAGTTTTAATAGTTATTTTCTTTATAGGATTATATTATACTAAGATTAGTACTTATATAATCTATTCTTTTAATTCTTTAAATACCTTCTACTATTTCTAAGTCTATTTAAATATATCTGATTTCTTAAATAATTAGAATATCAGCATTATAGTTTTTATATAGTTATTAATAAATTACTAGTAGTAGTTAATTAATCTATAATACTACTATAGTTCTCTAAGGTTTTTTAGTATTAGCTAGTCTCTAATTACTTATACCTTTATCTAATTTATATAGATTCCTTTTATAGAGATTTAGTGGCCTAAGAAGTCTATTTCTTATATATAATTTTATATTCTAAAGTTTTATAAGTATCTTTATAATATACTTAATATACTTATTAAAATTATCTAAGAATATTAGAATATTATCTAGGTATATAATAATAAAGATATTAAGATATTCTAATAGAATTTTATTAATAAATTATTAGAATAATACTAGTATATTAGTTAACCTAAAGGGTATAACTAAATATTTATAATATCTATATTTAGTCTAAAATACTATTTTCTATTTATCCCCTTTTACTATTCTAATCTAGTTATATATATTTATAATATTAAGTTTTATAAACTATTTTACTCCTCTAATTCTATCCTAGATTTCTAAAATAAGAGGTAGTAGGTATTAGTCTTTAATAGTAATATTATTTAATAGTTTATAATCTATATAAAGTTATAGACTATTATCCTTCTTAGGTATAAATAAGATATTATATCTTATAGGTAACTATAATATCTAAATAGTACCTTTTACTAATTATTTATTAATATATTATTTAAGTACTATTAACTCCTTATTTAATATATAATAGATCTTCTTATATAATAGCTCCTTTCCCTTTTAGATAGGGATTTAATAATTATATTATCTATAGTCTAGTAGTTATAGCTTTTATAATTATTTAAATAACTCCTAAAATATAGTATACTCTTAAGGTAGCTATAGTAATTCTTAAGAGTTTATTACTAGTTCCTTAATATATCTATATCTCTATAAGCTATTATCCTAATCTAAGGATTACTCTATTAATATATTAGAGTAATATCCCTTATTCTATAAGCTATTAATTATATCCTTAATAATAGTTTATTTATAATATTTAATTACTATCTCTAGTACCTATCTAAGTAATTATACTAGCTATACTTAGTCTAAAGCTTTACTAGCTATTAAGATTTTAGTTACTTTATTACTTATTATAATATTATTACCTTATTTAATTACTTAACTCTACCCTTAAGTTCTCCTTTATAAGTATATTATTAAGATTTAATAGTATTATCCCCTATATCTATTAATCTAGGGTAT